ACATTGTGAAAGTCAATCATGACTTTGGTCTTGGGCTTTGAGGCAGGTGCAGCCCCCTTTTCAGGGGTGTTCTCCTCTTGGCTTGGCTCTCCCTTTGCCAGGATCTTGTTCTGGCTTGGTTTGCCCTTTTCAGAGGTTTTCTGGCTTGGCTCCTCTTGGTTTGGCTCCTCTTTCTGTGGCTTCTCTTGGCTTTGGGATGGTGGCTTCCCCTTTTCAGGGGTTTCGTGGCTGGGTTCTTCCTTTACCTCTTTCCCCTGCTCCTGTGCATCCACCTTTTCAGGTGCTTTCTCTGGCTCCCCCCCCTTTTCAGAGGCTTTGCCTTCCTCTAGCACAGGCTCAAGTTGGCCCACCCCATAGTTGCTACTCAGGTGCCAGGCGTGCCTTTCCTTTTCCTTCTTGTGCCAAACCAATTTTTTTCTGGCAGGGCTGGTTGACCTGGACTCTGAGCTGGAGTTGTCCCAGTCCACAGACATGGGGCCTCCTCCTGCAGAGCTTCCAGAGCTTTGGCTGCTTGACCTTTGCCTCCTTTGGCTTTTGCTCCTTTGGCTGCTTTTGCTTGAGCCTGCTTCTGCTCCTTTTTGGCTTCCAGCCTGCGTGCTGCCAGGTGTCACTTTGCCAAGTGTCATCTGTCCAGGTGTCATTTTGCCAAGTGTCATCTGTCTAGGTGTCACTTTGCCAAGTGTCATCTGTCCAGGTGTCAAGTGTCATCTTCCCAATCTTCCCAGGTGTCACTTTGCCAAGTGTTGCCTGTCCAGGCTTCACTTGGCCAAGTGTCACCTTCCCAGGTGTAACCCTCACTTTTGCAAGTGTTTTGCTGCCAGCTTTCCGGCTCTTCCCATTGTTCTTGCACCTTTTCAGGTGGTGGCTGTGGTTGCAGGTGGGCTCTTCTGGCTTGCCTGGCTTTGCTGGTTGTGCCCTGCCCGCTGTTCCTGCCTGCTTTGTTGCCAAAATCCCCTTTAGGGCGAGGTTTTTCCTCCACTCTTTCCATTCCCAACTCATCCACTCACCACTCATGGCCCTAGGTAGCTAGGCTTAAGCCAAAATGGCTGCAGACCCATGCATGCATACCGACCCCTTATAAGAAACACAGTTATTAGCAGCCCCACCCCCCATGCAAACAAAACATTGGCAAGACAACCATGTTTCATCTGCCTTTCTTAAGGGGGACCACCTGATCCTTGCAATTCTTGTTTTTTTGGGGGGGGCCCCTTAGCTACCCTTGCAACCCTGGAGCTCGCAAACCAATTTTTCTCCTTTCCGAAAGTTCTTGCTACGCTCTTGTGGCCAGCAGCCCCAACCCCTTGCAAAAGGGCAATCCCTTTTTCAAGGGCACTTTGTGTGCCCCTCCCCCTTTTCAAGGGTTCTCCTCCAGCCTCCCTTTTGTCAAGGGTGTACTGCACTTTTCAAGGGTACTTCTTCAGATTGGCTTTCCTTTTGTCACAGGTTAAGTGTTTTTATGCATCCCTTTTGCAAAGGTGCTTTTTGAAACAAGAGGATTTTCCTCAAGGGTACTGCTTGCACAGCTTTGACCTCAAGGCCACAGCTTCTTCTTTTGACAGATTTTCTGCCAACATGGCTTCCTTGATTTTGTCAATGACCAGGGGGTACCTGTTGCTCCATGTTTTTGGGACTTCAACAACAAGCTTCAACTTTCCACCTTTTTCTTTTGTGCCTGTCAAGTAGCACCTTTCAGGTTTGGAGGCCATTGTTTTTCTTATGCTAAGCCAAGGCTTAGATTCTGAGCACGCAGGCGTCTTAGGGCTTTCCCCTGCCTTTTGCAAGGCTGCTGGCCTTTTGCCAGCTGCTGCAGGTTTTTTCAAACCGGTTTTCATAACTGAAGTGGCTGGCTTGTCCTGCTGCCAGCCAATGGCCCCCTTCAGATTTGGCAAATAGGCGATGGGCTTAGGGTTGCCAATCGCCTTTTTAAAGATCCTGGTTGGGGCTGCCTTCTGGGGAACCTCCTGCTTTGGTGGGCTTTCCAACATTTTTGGAAAGCCATCAGAGTCTACTGACACATCACTGATGGTTTTCTTTAATTTCTTCTTTGCTGTTGGCAAGGGCCCTTTGCTTCCACATGCTTGTTCAGGTTTCAGCTTGATCTTTGTTGCTGGCAATGGGCCTTTGCTGCCAGATGTGTTTTGCGCAGGCTCTCCTGCCTCATCACTGGCCTCATACTTTTTCCCTTTTGCAAGGATATTTTTTTGGTCATCCCCTTGTGAAAGGGAATCCTCTTTTGCAAGGGGGTCTGGGTGATCACTTTCTTTAAGCTGCACTTTTTCAAGGGTTGTCTTCAGCCATTGAAATTCCATGCTTGTCAAAGCACCACAGCAGCTTGGGTTAGTGCCATTCCTTGCAAGTTTCCTCACATGGGCTAACACAACCCCGACCCTTTCAGCCCTCAAGTTTGCCCACACACACCCATTAAATTTTGTTGTGTTCAGCTGTGGCTTAAGACTCAGTAGCTGTACCAGGCCATTTCTCAATGGTTGAGGGTGCAACTCACAGCTGGGTGCCAAGTCAAGCACATCATTTACAAAATGAAGGGCATTTACTAGCCCCCTGGGGTCAATACCACTGTTCCTGGACAAAGCTTTTGAAATCTTTCATGGTTTCTTCATGCTTGCTCAGCAGTTTCAGCAGGAGCCCTGCATCCACATATGGTTTGGAGAAATGCCTAGCTCCTCCCCTGCCTCCTTTTCCCATTCCCTTTTTCAAGGGCTTTAACACCCTGTTGCAAGGGGCTCTTTGGGTTGCTGTCCCTTTCAACGTACAAAGCCTTTAGCAAGTTGCCCTCTTTATTCAAAGGCTTCCCAGCAAACTGTAAGCCAAAATGCTGCAAATGTACTCACAGCAAAAAGTTCCCATGCAAAAAATCAGTATGGAAATCAATATGGAAATCAATATGGAAATCAATATGGAAATCAAACAAATCAATCTGGAAATCAATATTAAAACCAATGCAAAACCACCCTTACAATCAATATGAGAATCAATATATAAATCAATCTGGAGAATCAAACTTTTCAATCCAGCAAATATTGAAAAAATCAATGTAATCAAACTATTCAAAATCAATATAAAAACCAGGAAGTTTATTGATTGTAATCAATATCCGATGCTCAGGGTAGCTGTCAATCTCCAGTACTCGGCCTCCTTCGACTTCTCGTCCATCGTGCACCGCTCTTCTTGTTTTGCTTCTCTGACCTGGGCTAACTCCAAGATCGCATCTTGACGATGACTACCCTCGATAGCAATCATCTGGTCCTTCTTCAACACGTCGGATTCGTGCTGCTTGACGATCTCTTCTTTCTCGCGAAGTAAGCACTCTGCTCTCTTCGATTCTTGCTCCGCGAATGTTGTAACGTCGTTCAGTCTCGCCATCAGCTGCTCCCTGGAGTCCTCCATAGAGTACGTCTCGGGGCGTTTGACGAGTGCATGCTCCAACTGTGATTTTAGACTTTGGACCATCTCCTCCTCGTTGAACTTCTCGATAGATGTAGACGATTCAATACCTCTGATCTGTTGCTGATAAACTGATATTTGTTGTGAAGCCTCACGGTGTATCTGATTTGCACGTATAGCTGATTCCTGCGCGGCCGACTTCTCGCTTGCCATGTAGGATTTCATCACTGCAATCTCCCGCTTCTGCTCCATAATAGTTCCTTCAGCTTGTCTCATCTGTTGTATTATAACATTCGACTCCATGTCTTTCTTTTCCCCGTACTGATATGCGTTCATTTCCACCTTGCGCATCTGTTGGGCTTCCTCCTCAAACTTGCGCCATGCCTCAGCCATGCTTGCTGGCAATCTCGCATCGTCTCTCCAGCTCCTCGATCCGGATGGTGCTCCCATAGTCCTCTTGATGAAGATTCGCCATTGCTGCCGACATTTCATCAAGTGTCTTTTGGTATTCCCCGATCTCCATCTCCATCTTGTTCTTTTCTTTAATTGCGGCGCGAAACTCCGCACTGGTGGGTGATTTAGACCTCCCACCTTTTGATGTTGACCTCACGCCCTTCTGCGACGTCCGTGGTGTCGCAGGCGAAGATGATGATCTTCTCGGCGGGGATTCTCTTTGCTTCGACTCCTGACGAACATCGATCTGCTTCCATGATCTTGTAGGAGTGGATATGTCGCTGAATAGCGCGGATCCTCCGCTCCCAGGTTCATCCTGTAAATCTGCGAATCAAATCCATCACCGCAGGAAGAGCCATCAATCCATTGGATCCCTCTGAGCTGCTGTTCCCAAAAGTTGCAGTACTTGGGCTCGCTGAAGATGCCATTGTACCGTGTAGGTTATTGTCCCTTTATTGTCCCTGTACCCGCAATAAACCAGCTGTCTCTCTGTCCAGTGTAGAGCTTGTCGTTACGGCTGATAACCTGTCAAGAGACGGCAAGGTGACGTCCCGTGGGACGCTGTCCACCGAACCCTCGAGCTGTAAATACCAACCACGTAGAAAGGTGTATACGGTCAAACCGTTCTAGCCGAACCCGTGTAACTGTTGTAAGGGAGATGGAATAATAGTTACAACAGTGGTCCTGACAAATGCAGCGCAAGCGAAGTGTTTTCCGCTCTCAATTGCCGATCACGTATGAACGCAGCTTCACATAAGATCTTGAACCTCACTTGTGACTTGAGCCAAATGGCAATCAATGGAACCTTGTAAGCAACACAAGCACGGACCTCAGAACTGCTTCCCAATTTAGGCACGGGGCCAGGAGGGTTTTAACAAAAAGAAAGCTAACTAAGTCCGGGGGATATCACAATTGGCCATTGTTTCGTCTCCACCTTAAAGCTAAAAGGTGGCAAGCCATCAGATTTACCTGAAACGGCACTCATCCTTATTGGACCAACTGTGTGGGGCGCCATGCCGAACTCACTCCAAAACGGATAAACAATTCTGGGATATACGGCCCTTGAAAGGTTCCGGTTTTAAACAGATCACTTCTGGAACGGCACTTGAAAGCCCCCCCAGATTTCAGCTTCCGCCCGGTTTGGCTGCCGCGGCTCTTGCATGTCTGGCAGAAGCTCCGCAAGCCGCCGTGAGGACATCCTCGACTTGGCAAAAAAAAAGAGTGTGAGGCGCGGCTCCGGCCTACGTTTTGGGGTGTTTGGTCGGTAAGCCAGGTCTGATTTAGACAACCCTAAGGGTCCCGACTATTTTTGGGCCCTGCAAATGGGTTCTTCTTGGGGGGTTTTGAGGGGTCAAAGTTCTGCATTGGAGGGTCCGGAAGTCTGCATTGGAGGGGTCATGACCCTTGGGGAAAGACAGTTTCTCAACTCGGGGATGGGGGGGGGTGATATGTAGTTTCCCTGTGAATACACGCAGCCCGGATACAGGGCACGCTCAGACAAAATGAGAAATACCCTGTGGACTTTGGTCTTGTGGGTTCGGGGTTCCAGGACAGTTCTGCCTTTTCGGCGCTTCCAGTTGCCATTCTCGCAGAAAATCGGAAATCATATATGTATAACCTTGACGTGAGGCATTGTTTGCGCGCAATTTTAAGCTGCATGAGGTACCTGGCTTGGGATGGTTCCCCATTCGTGTGTGAGGGAAACGGCGCAGCAACGACCGCACCTAGAGTCTCCATGACCCCTAGAAAAAGAGGTCATGACCCCTTTATTTTTGGGCAATGACCAACCATTTTTTCAGGGTCATGGAGAGTCTAGGTACCGGCGCTGTTGTTGGGTTGAAGATGCCCGGGGCGTGCCGGGGGCCTAAGTCGGATTCAAACATTCGGCTCCCGCAATGGACGGTTGGGGCTGCGTGGGGGCTGTGGTGGGGGATGCGTGGGGGTCCGGATACGTGTGGCAGATGCGAGGATCCTTTTCATAGGAGATGCAGATGTGGCCGGTTTTTTTGGGCGTTCGAGGAAGCAATACCAGCCACCAAAAAAAAACATGTCCTTTCCAAAGGCCGGTTGGTTGGGATAAAATCAATCGATCGGGCGGAACTTGCCGGGAGCCTGGGTAATGTCAGCAACATGTTGGGACAAACCAAGTCAGGTCCAGAAACCCAGCAACCGGTTCTGCCATTTGCTTAAGCCCCCTGGAAATCAATCGTATTTCCAGTAGTGATAGATTCCCTTTAAAACCAACAGGGGAAAATAACAAATATTCATTTCAGCAAACGGAAGGATGGTATAATACAAACCCACCCTGCGGTTGCCTCAGCCGCCATGGCGTCTTGCGTCCACCGGGTGCCTTCAACATTTTGTGTTTCAGCTCTTCTTCTTGAAGCCAACAAAAAGACAGAATTTCATAACCAGCTCCTTCAGGTTTTTCCCACTTCCCACCCTTTTCTCTTCCAGACTTCTTGTGCCTTGAAAAAGTGAACGCCATCTCCTGTCTCAACAAGTTGTCTTTGGGGAGTCAAGTGAAAGGTCTGCTAGGTCTCGAGGTCCTCCAGTAAAGAGGTTAGAAGAAGTTGGTACCCGATATGTTTTTCTGCATTCTATTCTAGTAGGGGAACCCTCCCAAAAAAAGGTAAAAGGGCACTGCTGGGGACCTAGGTCTGGAAAAGAAACACAAATTGGCAAACCCCTGTTTGGCTTCCGCTTGTAAACAAAGAAAGCTAGAGGCTGCTTAGCACTTGAAATGACACACTCACTTTGAGACGAACAATGATATTTGACATCCATTGCCTAAAAATCAAGTCTGCCTGCAGGCATTTGCTTTAAGCACTTTGACTCAAAAAAAACCCAAGCCACCAGAAGAACACCCATGTCCAACGTTTGCCCTGAAAGTCATTCTCATTCTCAAGGCCCGGCGGAGCTGAAAGAAAAAGCTGATCCGGGTGCAAAAGATGGCTACCCTCCCACTGACATGGCAGACATGGCACCTGACATAAATTCCCTTGAAGAGGTTGGTGGACATCATTTAGGTGGGGGATTCATGTCCACCAATCACTTTTCAGGTGGTTCCCTATGACAATTCCTGGCCACAAAGGACCAAACAAGAGAAACCAACAGATTAAAGATGAAAAGGTCGGAGTTGTTCAAACAACCTGAAAAGTACTGGCAATTCCCCTGAAACCAACCCGACAAGGGCATCGGGTCTCACAAGCAACAACCCCCCGTCTTGCGGAGGCATCGCTCTTGGGACATGAACACCGTGGCGCGTCCTTTGACTCCAATTATTCGAAAAGTATGATCGGCGGCCATATTATGGGTATGGGTCAAAATAAAACCACCAGGGGACCGCATGTTTTAGGCTTTGGTTCGATTTACCAGGGTTCCATTTTTGGTACGCATTTTTGACCCCAGCCATATATGATAGATTACAAGAGTTCTCCCACGCGCGTCCCATGGAACGACCGCAGTGGGGGTTCTGTGGAGCAGAGGTGCCGTGACACTTCACGCACTTCGTCAGGAAGAGCCCGTGCTCGCACTCCCCGAATTTGCCGGCTGGCTTCCGCAGAACGCTCACCTGAGCCAAACAGCTTCCGGATTGGGAGCGCGCCATTCGCGCGCGTTGATTCTTTTTTTTTCTTTCTCCAGGGCGTGCCTTTTCCTTTGCGGCTTTGCTTGTGCTTTGTTGGGGTGCGCGTATTCGGGTTGTTTGTGGTTGATTGACAGTTTTTGTTGTGTGAGACGGCGTTGTTGTTTGGTATTGTTGTCGTGCTTTGAAGGGCAAACAACCGGAAGTGTATTTGTTTGTTGTTCTTTTTTTTTGGGGGGGGGTGTCTGCGTTCCTTGCTAGACCTTTTCAATAATACCAGCATTTGATTCTGACTGGTTTGGTTCTACGTTTCAGGCTGCCTGGGTTTTGTCTGGGGGAAACCCAACACAAATTTGGTTGGTTGCAGCAGCTCCTGCCCCCAAGCCGGAAACGGAGCTTCCTTTGAACTCCCCCAAAAGGCCCTGAGCGTGAGCTTCGAAAACAGCAGCGATCCACCGTGCAGCGAAGTGAAACGAGTCTTCTACAGATCTTGGGTTGCGTGGGCTGAACAGCTTCCAAAAGCGTTCCAAGAGATTCCCCCCCCCAAAAGCGCAAACGAACATGCTCAACCAGGGAATGCATGGGGAAAGGAAAGAAGTTCGTTCCCTCCAGAAGCGTGACAAAATGGAAACGCCCAGCCACTGGGAAGGAAAAATCGTCAAAGGGAATCGGCTTGATGGGGATCGATCCGCCTGCTGGGAACTTCAGAACATCTCCCCTAGCTCCTCCAGTAGAGAGGTTAGAATGAAGGTACCAACTTTTTTCCGTAGTCTATTTTAGTAGGGAACCCTCCCAACCAAAAAAGAAACGGTGAGAAAGGGCACCCATTGCTGGGGGACCGGGTCTCTCAGCCCGCGGACGCTTCAAAAACCATGGGGAAACCGGGCCCACGCCCCCCCACCAAAGGCAAAAGGACAAAAAATCCGTGAGGCCGATCGATCCGCCGAAAGGCCGAGAAAACGAAAAAAAAAGAAAGAACAAAAAACACCTCTCAGCCCAGGGGCCCTGGGTCGCTTCCACTCCGGCTCGGGCACGGGGATCTCCAGATCGTCCTCGAGCTCTTCCACTTCCGAGGAGGGCTCCGAGGCCATGGCGCGAGAGAACCCGAGCGGCGGAGAACGGGGTCTGCGACGGAGATACCGTTTTTTCCGGTGGCGCGCGGATTCCCATCTAGGTCCTCCAGTGAGGTCAGAATAAGGCTACCAACTTTTTTCTGATTCGTCTGTTTTAGTAGGGGCTTGCCCTCCCAACCAAAAATCAGATGCTGCTCGAGCCCATGCGCGCGAGCCGAGCCGGTGGGGAGTTCTTCCAAGTGATGGGAGCGAGGGCGCCAAGTCGGGAGTCTGCAGGTTCTGAGCTTTCTGGTTTGACGGCCCCAGGAAATGAACAAATATGTCCAGGATGAATTCCTTTTCAGACCGACCAAGGAAAAAAACCACATATTCATTTCAGTAACAGGGATCCTTACATTATACACCTGAACATTGAAACTGGTACATGGTGGTTTTCCTGTATGGTGGAAATATGTATCTTTTAAGGAGCCCTGAGTAAATGGAGGTGAGTATCTAGATTCTTCAAGCTGCAAGACCAATACCTCAGCGTCCTAGCATTCATTCAGCTAAGCTGGAAACCGACTGCGTGGCGTTGGTCAAAAGCCCTACGTGGCCAATACGTCTTTCCCAGCGATCAGATCGTCGCAAGGTCAGGTGATATTTTGTTTCGGCCCATGCTTCAAACAACCAAACTGTGAGTTCAACGGTCTCAACGGGGCTTCGATGGGCGGACTCCAGTTCTGTAACTTTTTTGGGGGGAGTTGCTGCACCCCTTGTTGGCTGGCTGAAAAAAGGAAGACCAAGAAGAAAACCCAACGAGCCACCCATTGGGCGTTCACAGGATCGGACACACGGAGCGGCAAATGAGGCGCCAAGGTGTAGAATCCGCAGCTGGCACTGGCGTCATAGTGAACATGCGTGCCCCAGTAAAAAAAGAAGCAGAAGTTGTTGTTATTCAACACCAGCAGGGGGAATACAAAACAGATTGTGAAGCAAATGGAAGTTCAGCCCTGCTTGTGCATTAGGGTGACCCTTTGGAGAAATTTCTCAGTGGCCCTTTCTGATTAGGGCCACAAAGTCCATCTAAGCCAGTGGAACCCATCTATTTCGAACCTGGACGAAATCCTGCACCACCTAAGAAACCCTATGATTTGATTCCCCTGTAAATACCAACAAACGTCATGGTTTCAACCATGGTTTCATTTCGTGGTGCGAAATGGATTTCGCAACCATCCACCGGAATTCTTTCCAACCAAACCTAAAAAGGACGACTGCGCCAACGGCTTTCCTCCAAACTTCGGGCGGGGCACCCTAGGTAGGGAGTGAGGGAATGAACCCAGGCTGTCCCCCTTAAAGGAAACCACCAGGATGGTTTTCATCCCCGAAATGTCTGATTTTGCTGCGAACTCGGCAATGAGAAATGGCTCACCCCAAGAAAGGCCCATCCGACTGGTCTTCTTTTGAGGACTTCCGCTCATTCCCTGAGCACCGGCAACATCTTCATGGAAGTTCGGCGTGCAATGGAGTCCCCCCTCCGCGCCCTTTGAAAGTCGCACGTAACGCCTAAGGCCCACCCCAAGCATTCCAGTGGCCTGCACACTTTCTTCTAAACACATTGCATACGCAAAACATCCACAGAGTTTCAGCTTGATTCCAAGAATTCACCAAAACAAACACACTGGGACCACCGCCCCCCCCCCCCCCGGAATCCAGCAGCGACTGCGTATCGCACCCCCGCGCCTGGCGCATCTCTTCCGCCACCGCCGGGCTGGCAAGGTGCAGGTCGTCCACCACCAAACACATCTGCGAGCCCGGCCTCGGTTTCTCTCGGGGATATATTTTTGGCTGTGGTTCATACAAAAAAAACGGAATTCCAACATGGGTTGCCCTGGTAAGTGGAAACATGGACCAGAACCTGCGGTTTGCCCCTCCTGTTTAACTTTGAGCCACACCCAGATGGGTGCTATCATATTGACCCGAACAAGCAAAACCCCCAAAACGTTTACTCGGTCGCTTTCTGCTCCCCCGCTCAAAGTGACTAACCTTTGGTGGGTGAAATTCGGAAATCCAACCACTAAACACTAAAAGGCGAAAAAGCTGCAAAGCTAAGGCACCGGATGGCCGCTAACCACCAAGTTTCAGCTTCAGCTTCAGCTTCCGCTCGCTTTGCGCCTTTTTTTTCCGCGTCGTAACATAAAAATCCGGTTGGCTACTACCAAAATCCGCCATGTCCAAACAAATCCTCTTGGTACAGGGATCCCTACATGAAAAACACCAGGACATTGCAACTTGTAAATGGTGGTTTCCAACTTTATTTTGGTGTTGAACGTGAAAAAGCGCCATGTTTCAAATGGTGGCATTTGTTTTTCTTCGGAGCCCTGTACTTGAAAACCACAAAGGCGAAAAGGACACACGAGCTATGGACGGGTGTTCCAGTTGGTTGCCGAAAAAGACGTGAGAACATTTGGTGCTTGAAAGGACATGGGGAAACTTGGCAGTTCAGGAAAAAAAGGGGAGAAGACATGCTTATAAAAGGAAATGAGAGAATTAGGACCCCAATAGGTGTGAACAAATTTGCTGGTCTGTGAGAAGGAAAGCCGACAATTCCGTCTGACGGAATCTTTGTAATGGTTAAGGCTCCGACCAGGTGGTTGACCATCCCTGCCAACAGGGTCACCTGGATTTCCTCTTAAGTTGCAATGGCCTGGTGGTTTCCCATGGAAAAAACCGGCTCCCGAAAAGGACATGGAGCCCTGCCCAGGAAAAAGCCTCCTGCTTTGGGTTGCCAGCTTCATACTGGTGCCCCCTGAGCCGTGGGCCAGTGACCCTGGCCACGAAAAAAACCATGGCACAAACAGGAAGTTCAGCCCAAGCAGAGATCACCAAACATGAAAGAGAGCATCGACATACCATGTCGAATGGACATGGCCACAGGCAAATTCCATGGCACCACCGGGAAATCAGCGAAACCACTGGAAGAGTTTCCCCCCCTTTCCCACGGCTAGGCCCAAAGTCTGGAGCTCCTGAGCTCTTAAGCTCTCAGGTCCGTGCATGGGGCTCAGCAGCTTGGCGCCTCGCCTACACCCAGCCGAAGAGGGGTGGGGCTGGGGTGGGGGGGGGGGGGGGCACGTGTGGGCGCCGATTTCTGTAACGAAAAACCCTCCAATTCAGATGCAAGCTGACGTAAAAGGTTGGGGGGGGGGGTCCTGGTTGGGGCCAAGTTCCTTTCAGGTGTGCAAAGTTGCTGGGGGAAGCAACAATTGGTAGCATGTGGGCGCTCAAACTAGACCCCGGTTTACTTGGCATTTAGAGGGACGCCGGGGCCGTTTAAGAGGCCCCACTCTTGAGAAATGCATCTGAGTCTTTGAAGGGGAAGACCAGGAAATTAGAGTTAGACCCAACCCGAACGTTGGTCCTTGCAGATATTTGTCCGTTTTCTTTTTTCTGCCAAAAGTTTAACTTCTGGGCTAAATAGAAACTTAATGACTTAAGCAACTAAACACCTAAGAACCTGAGAGAATATGTTTCTGCCGGTATTTCTCGTTGGCAATCAGTCCAACCAGCGCCAAGGCGCTTCCCAAACGTTGCAAGAGCGGCCTCATGGCTCCCTCTGTTTTTTACATCACCCACGGAAGCCCAATCCGAAGGCTCGTTGATGCCGCCCTTTTGGTTGAGTTAGGAAACCAGGAACTTCGAAGCCCATTTTGGGGGGCCAAGCCTTCTCGCCCTTGGTCTGGTAGACCAAAACAAGAGCCAACCAACCAAACGCCGGCTTAAAAGCAGTGAAGCCGCATGAGCCAAATTGGGCCACACAGTTGAAGCCAAAAGCCTAAAGCATCTAAAAACGAGAGGTCAGCACAAGCCAACCCAAAAACCCCGAGCGAGGTTTCAAGCTCCAACAAAGGGCAAGAGGGGTGGGAGACCAGCGGGTTGCGCCTCGGCAGCCGCTCCCGGACGAAGGTCACAAAGCTGGCCTGGTGCATGGAGGGGGTCGGGGAAGAAAAGGGGGTTGGGGGGGGGGTTGTGAGTAGTTGGGGGGTTAGTTGGGGGGTTGTGAGGTTGGGGGGTTAGTTGGGGGATTAGTCGGGGGGTTAGTTGGGGGGCTAGTTGGGGGGTTAGTTGGGGAGTTAGTTGCGGGGGTTAGTTGGGGGGGTTAGTTGGGGGGTTAGTTGGGGGTTAGTTGGGGGGTTAGTTGGGGTGTTAGTTGGGGGTTAGTTGGGGGGTTAGTTGGGGGGTTAGTTGGGGGGTTAGTTGGGGGGTTAGTTGGGGGGTTAGTTAGGGGGTTAGTTGGGGGGTTAGTTGGGGGTTAGTTGGGGGGTTAGTTGGGGGGTTAGTTGGGGGGTTGTGAGGTTGGGGGGTTAGTTGGGGGGTTAGTTGGTTGGGGGGTTAGTTGGGGGGTTAGTTGGGGGGTTGTGAGGTTGGGTGGTTAGTTGGGGGGTTAGTTGGGTGGTTAGTTGGGGGGTTGTGAGGTTGGGGGGTTAGTTGGGGGGTTAGTTGGGGGGTTAGTTGGGGGGTTAGTTCCTTGGGCCAACTTGGAGGGTTTCAAGACGAGGAAACCAGGTCATTTGGCCAGAAACTAATGTCTACCCAAAACCGCACCTGCCAAACTGATAGGAAACACCCCCCAAAGCCAATACCCTGGTCGTACTGTCATGGTGTCCGTCTCAAAACTGACCTCAAAATGGGCGCCCTCAGAAAGACACACCCAAACATGCCAAGGTCCACAGATACTTTCATCTGGGACATATGAGTCATACAACCTGTCCAACCATCCAATCAAACTCCTGACATATGGCCATGGGTCAAAATCGCGTACCCCCGGTGAACATCCCAATCCCAACTAAAATAGGCTCTAAAATGGGTGGTGAATTCACCTACCAACCAAAATGGTATCCAAAACGGCTTTGACGACCACAGCCATATGGTTTTGCGATTTAACATGTCCAACATCCACGGGGGATCCGACCGCATCGTCCATGACCGTGACAAGTAACCACCTGCGAGCATATGAACGCATTGGAGGTCAACTTGTCTAGGTC